GTAGTAGTAGTAGCAGCAGTAGTCATCGTCGCCGCCGTCGTGTGTCGGTGTGATAATACAAAAGGTGGTGGAGCAGGAGGGGCAGAGATGAGGATGCTAGCCGGCGTTCTGTGGAGGTAGGCAGTCTTTAGCTTCCGTTGATGGCAAGCCCTGACGTGCAAGAAACCCAGACTGCTTTGTAAGTAGCTGTTCCTCTGACTTTCCAAAGGTTGTGTGGACTGTCCTGTGGCTCGACAGTCGCCATCCCGCCGTTGCAACAATAATAACCGGAAGCGCCCCATGTTCTATCAAGACCCTACTGTCTTTCCTAGCTTGGCTCGACATAGACAGGCAGGCCACTCTTTTTGATGGCAACGATACTCGCAGCTGGCTTGCCCATCATGACCACAACATCGTTGCCATCCTTCAGTGCCTGGCAACTTGTCTTAGGCGAGGGTTTGGTTCAAAGCGAGCAATCCTGTGGGAAGACCAACGCCCTACGGCGACAGCACCTGCAAACTGGGAGACCTACTCACCTGCATACACAGACACATCATCTTCGAAACACAAGTCAAACCAGTAGCAGTCACATGGCAATTACCCAGTTCACGCCGATGTACCGACTCTTCCCGGCCAGCCTTTCCCCCAAAGCCCCTGCCCTGCCCGTTGGATGTCGGGCCTTTCCTTTCAACTCTTGTCGTCGTCCCCGCTTGGCCTGCTCATGACGCCAGTGAGTCGGTTATCCACGGGGCCGCACTGCCCAAAAGACGTTGACAGACGCAGCTGCTGGATCGAATTCGCATACGGATTGCACATTGACATGATGCAATGGACTATCTTTCGATATCACTCTGAGGGGCTATTCAGGCTCGTTGCCACTGATTGATATTACACTGTATAGGTATATGGCTGGCAGGTAACCTATTTTTACTTTGTTGTCAGCACAGCTTGTGGCTGTCACTAGCTCCTCATGCTCAGATTGCGTGTGTTTGCTCTTCCTCCTCCTCCTCGTCCTACTGATATCGCTGCTCTTGCTCCGATGCAACTGCAAATACAACCACCACAACAGCAGCAATATGGTGGAAAGACTCTTCCTAGTCCTTATCCTACTCCTACTAGTCAGTTAGGAGTCTATGGCACATAACAGGACTGGGCTGCTACTCCTGCTTGCGCGCTGCACATTATGAACTGCGCTTCCGCACTCCCACTTCGCGGACCTCGGAAGCTCGCAGCTTTTCGATAATGACCTGAGACGCTTTGCTTCGTCTTGCTCCGATTGGTACTGCTCTTGTACTTGCCAGGGCGCGGCCCACCACCACATCAAAGACTCGTTTGATTGCTTGACCCCCGTGACCATCCGCCCTAGATTTGGGCGCCATCTATCCGACCTACTAACGTCTGTTTCTTGCACTATTTGGGCGATGCCAAGATTCGATGCAACAAGACAAGCCAAGTGGCAATGTCTCCGTCAACGGCACGGTTCATGGCATTTTGGCCTGAAATCAGGAACTCCCCGGCGTCTGGGACGTAAACGACACCTGAGGAGTCGGGCGCCCACCACAGGGCAACCCTTTAAGGCAGAATGCGAACATGAAATGTATGGACATCATGGCAATGTTGCGAAAGCAACAGCGACAGAAAAGCTGGCTCAAGGGATCTGGGGATTCGAAGACATGTCAGAAGGACAGTGAACCTGCCACGCACGATTCCTGTTACCTTGCGACACTTCACCGAGATGTTGCCAGATTGACCACTCGTGAAAACACCGACGCTTGATTCCAAGCTCTTCGATCAGTAAGCGCAGCTAAGGTGACCCAGCGTCCGCGAGTTGAGCATCCTGGGATGTAATTGTGTAAAGCCAAACAAACCGTTTCACAAAGGTTTCTCCGGAAGAATGGACGACAAATCCGTGGAGCTCTCCAGCTTTCTTCCGAGCATCTGCCTCAGCTCCCCGACTAGCAGCTGCCCACTTTGGAGCCCGCTGGTAAGCTGACCTTGCCTTGCTCGAAGATATCATATTTCAAGCATAGGTTGTCTTATCTGCTGTTACTTGTGGTAGTCGGTAGATCTTCTGTTGACAGAAGTGTTGCATCGTTTGAGTGGGGGAGGGTAGTGGATAAAGGATGGGCGCTATTGACAAAAAGGTTGAGCACAGTCAAAAAATGCGGAAAGTGCTAATTCCCGCGCCTTTCTGAACAAATCAAAGGCTCTCTGTCTTCCCTTGGGCCCTGACCCATTAAACGCATAAAATAAGATAACCACTGGTGCATGACAGCATGGTAAGAAGCCCATGTGAAGCAACAGCCCTACAAGACGGCGAGTCAGTCTCCTGCTGCGCGTACGGCCATTCTCCTACGATTCTGTGTATTCGTTGCCCGCAGCTCGAAATGCCTAAACCTGAAGCCTTACAACTAAAAGAGTTTTGATTAGGACGATTAGGATTTGATTCAGGGCTGTAGGGGCTTTGTACTTGCATTTAGGGGTTTACAGTGTAAGCGTTCCGGGCTTTAGGTTGTTAAGGTTTGGAGCAAATCCAAAAAACTCTACACCATGAGCCGACGTTGGAACGGATCGTCTCCAGCACTTTGCATCCCAAAAATTCTCCTTGAACCCGAGGGTCAATCCCGAATCTGCGTGTGCCGGCTTTTGGACGCAACGTCTCGAGATCGCAAGTCCGCAAAAATGCATCCCCAAAAGGTGCCTCCAGTGCGCAGGGTATGGCTTAAAGAAGATCTCCTGCGCAGGGGAAACCACTTCCATGAAATTCTGCGCGGAGTGTGCTACCATGCAGGTCGTCTTGCTTGATACCTTGCGAGCCGGAAGACACGTGCCCCAGGTGACAACTTCTCCCACCAAGCCGAACCCTCAAACATCACTCGAATGCCGAGCTTGTGTGCTACATCCCGGAAACCATACGCTAAACTCTGTACCCTAAACCCGAAATCCCTAACACTCCTGACCGTCGCTGGCTTCGGATGCCTTTGCAGGCGCTTTTTCTTCCTGCGTGCAGGCACCGCTCGACTTCAATCTTTGGCTGCATCTTGGGGTGTGGGCTGCGTGGCTTTGAGGTTTCAGGCTTTTGAGTTTTTGGACTGCTGCGGGTTTAAGGAGTTAGGTACGGTTTTATGTTGTTGTGGGTTGCTTTCTGCTGCTTCCGTACTGCACTGAAACATCGTCAGCATTGCCAAGCGCTTACACAATCCCTGAGTGAGCTATACGGAAGGGCCAGTCGAAGGATTTGCAACAAGATGTTCTGATGCACAAGCGCCTTTTGGAGTGCGTATGCTCTTACTTGGACTCTATCATATGCACATGCGCACATACATTCATGCATGCTTGCCTGCATGTATGGATAGTTACTTGCCCCACGCGCAACTTACCCATGTACGTACACAACGCACATGCATGTCTGCATGCCTGCATGTATACATATATATATACACATGCATACACACACATACATAAACATGTATGCATACACATACACAAACACATATCCATACACACATATGTATGACCATGTATTTCCCCATACTTCATATTCCTATGAAAACATACATACATACATACATACATACATACATACATACATACATACACATATATATATATATGCACGCATGTGTAAATATACATGTATGTTGACAGGTTGAACCATCATCAATGTGTCTTCTAGTCACATCAATTAGTTAGCTATGCCCTTAAACCTGTTTGCTTTCTTACCTGCGGTATCGTCTAAATGAATACTTAATCTTACCTGGGTAATAAAGAGTAAGTTTGTGTGTATGTGCTTGCGTGTGCGTGTGTGTGCGTGTGTGTCTGTCTGTTCGTATGTGTTTGTGTGTACACATATATACACGAGCATGCATACATAAACCAGACATACTGGAAATCGTCCTGCTCTTGCGTTGTGGATTCCTCTTCTGGTTGTGCAGGCTGCCGACGGCGAGTTCTCCGCCTGGAATGCCGAGCTCCAAACCCGAAGAAAGCCAATAGCGAAAAAACACGGAAGGCATCGCAAGGCCCTGTTTTGTCGACCACGGCCGAAGCCATCAGCTTTTGTTGAAGGGGTCAGATAGTTTATCTTTCTTTCACTGGTACTGTAATAACGGTTCAACATCGTTCAACAAAGAAGCGGGAGACGGCTGGCTGGTCCGAAAGTCTTTCTTTCACAGACCCACGACATGTCTGCACCGTCTTTCGTTGGGCCTTTGGGTGGGGAGAGCCATCGGGGGGAAGGGGTGGTTCAAGCAGCAATAGAAGATACCTATACAGCCACAAAGCGAATCCCCTTCAAACTAGACCGGCGAAGACCCCAGATAGCTGGGGAAGTGTCACAAAAGTTCATGGCTTCGGACATAAATGGCTGTCAAAGGTTGGCTCTTCCCTGTTGCCAGCAGGTAGTTTGGTCCGCGCCCAGCGCTGTTTTTGGCTCGGGCTTGCCAATCTGGAAAAGGCAATGTCTGGGCTCACGCTTCTTCCAATGCCCCAACTGCCTTCGATCGAGGATCGAGCCTTTCCTTCTTCTGTCTGGAAATGCCGGATCAATCTCAGCTGGAGCTCACTCACTTCCCGCGTGTCATACATGTAACCATGAGCACTCTTTGTGCCATGCCCTGTGCCGCAGCAATCAGGGCACCAATCTGCTGAAGATTGTCAACCGAGCTGTCATGCAAATCCGAGCGCAGCAAACCCCCAGATGCACCAAACTGTTGCTCCGTTCCCGACAACACATCCGTCAAACAACTCACTGCCAATCTCGCCGCATCTACAACGGCATGTGGAATAACAGTCGGTATCAGGTACACCAACGTACCCTGTCGCACAGCCGGAAAAAGGTTTCCAGTCGAGTCAATCAATGGCAGCATAGCCTCGGGCCCGTACGGTCGAAAGGTCCGGCGACAACAATCGGCAATACTGACAAGTGGAAACGGCATCCTGTGCACAAGTAAAACTGTACGCTCATGGGATGACCATTGCTACAGTCAAGCTGCACAATCTTACTACATGTACCTTGCATGTCCAATGTCTTTCCAGACAAACTTTTCAGTGAGGGCGCGCTCTGACTCAAGTGCAGCGCAGGATAGTCCGGCGCAAACCATTCCGGTCAACAGTTTGCACAAGCTCCACTGTCCAACCGTATCCACGACTTATTGATCAATCAAGCTTGACGAGATTCAATCAAGCTGTCATCAAATTTCACAAGATCAATCTCTGGCAATCTGTTGGCGGGAACCGGGGGCACTCCGGCATTCAATCCGCCGATCAAAAGCACGCTCCATGCATGGAACCGATTTGGCATTATCCCAGGCTTCGCACCTCAGACGCTCGATCGGGGCGCATTCTGAACCTGTGCCTCGACAGTCACAGTTGCAGCCTTCTGCGACGGTTCACTCTTGGTGGCTTCGTGCGACGCATTCGCCTGGGAGCTAGACGCCATATTGGAGCTTGGCTGCTCTGTGCTCCACCAGTCTTGTGAATACCAAGGTTCTTCCTTCCAATAACTTTGGTCGTTATCGAACCAAGACCAGTCACCGGACCCATGAAGACCAGTTATCGTACCATTCCTGTTCCCTGATTCCACTCTCCTTGATGAACCTCCTGTTGGTTATCATCATGCGTCACTGCCGACATTTTCCCCTTAGCACCAAAGGCTCGTGTCACCACAAACATAGCAAGCTTGTGGCTTTGAATGTCCTTTGATTCCTTTTCCTTGTCCTCTGATTCCTCTGCATCCTTCTCTCTTTCCTTCTCTTGCCTTTGTGCGTTCCATTGTCCGTGCCTTTTCCTTGGTATATATCGTTGCAAAACTACCCTTTTCCTCCTTTACTTCCTTTCTTCCCTTCCAATGCTTCGATACCCATGTCTGCTGGACCACTGTCATCCCTCAAGCTTGGCACAGTCAGATACCTGCTATTGAAATAGCTAGACATAGTCTTCATGACTTCACTGAATGTGTTGATGTTATGAACGTGTAAAACGCAAGTGCTGCTGCATTGGACCAGTCGTTTTCTACAGAAACCGCGTGTGCAGGAGGTCATTGTCCAACGGTTTGCCAGTCGCCTTATGACGATTCTTCAAGATGATGAAATCACTCAGATCACTCTCCAATTGATCACTTCCCAGCTTGAACGATAGGGTCTCATTCGGGAGATTCGTGGCCCCCGCTCGTTCAGGCACTGTCTGCGCAATCTTCCCAAAATTTTCACAGCCATTCTGTGTCCTCGTTTCGATTAACCGCCCAAGCGGCACCGTCAGTGATCTGTCCCAACACGCACGCCAATTGTCGTGAGGAGAACAAATAACAGTTGGTTGTTCTGTGCTTCAGTCTGCTGCACATCAAAGGCTTCACTCAAGTCATCAGCGGTCACTCTCTGGGAACCTTCGACATCATGCCTGCACGCCGACTGCATGCCGCTGCACCCCCTGCAGCGGCGGTGGACACGTCGCCCCACACCTGCATGCCGCCTGCATGCCGCTGCACCCCTGCGGCCGCGTTGGACGCAGCGTGGCCCCTTATTCAGCTAGAACCTCTAATAACTAAAGCTATCTGAGGAAAAAACCTGTGGCCCTATACCAACCCCCAAGATCTAGTTACACTCCACCAAAGTTGAGGTGAGGGGGCTCCTTCGACCGAAGAGAAGCTGGTCCCACCAGATTTCTGCAGTGTTTAAATCCGTGTCTCAGGGCTGCAGGCCTCACGCTAGTGTAGATAGGGTACGATTCACCCGATATATGAGGCTTCGGGCGGATCTTGAAGTGGGGACACTAGACACAGAAGGTCCTCCTTAGCCTAGTTGGGGCCACAGCTTTCGACCAGTTAAATCAGAAACTGTTAAGCTAAGTATAAAAACCTATATAGAAGTCACCCCAAATATCCCCCAATCCTAAAGCCTTACTGTAGTACAAACATTGTGCTTGTTGCCTTCGCCTACTCGAACCCTGGTGCCTTCGCGCCCGACGCTCGACCGGCGGTGCCTCAAGAACAGCTCCGGTTCAGGGTTTAGGGTTCTTGGTTCTGGTTGCATTGGTACCCCTACCACTACGGAAGGGAGGATCGTTTCAAGCTGTGCGGAAAAGAGGAGTGAAGACTGAACCGTGCTAATTCACTTCATGTCGCCTGTTCCGACCGAACAAGCAAGCTGCTGTTCCCCAGAACCAGTCTTCTATTCAGCATCCTACCACAACTCTTGCCTATGTACGATGTCACTAGGGTTGTATTTGTCTGGGTGGTGAGGCTGCTGATGGTCATTGCGAGGCTACTGCTGACCAGTGGGATGACGATGTCGATAACGGTAACAGTGACTAATTGCAGCGACGACGACGACGACGACGAGTCTGATGGTGTTGTTGTTGTTCCTGGCGGTGGCGTGGTGGTGCATGACAGTATGATCGAGGTCGTGAAGAAGATGGTGGTCGTAGCGCCTTGCAGTGGCCGTGGCGGTGGAGTTGGTGGGGATGTTGGTGTTGGTGGCAGCGGCAATAGTGAACAACCTCAGAAATAATACTCGATAGTATGCCCTGTGCTCTTACTGGAAAACCTTATAACAACAGACTATGACTATGCCCTCCCCTAGAACGTACCCTCAGCTGCACCTCGACTGCTGCAGCCGCCGCCCTTGCAACCCCTGCGCCCGCAGCGGCTAAGGCCAGGCGAACAGGCCTGGAGATGGAGATAGGAAAATCTTGCGATGTACATAAAAGAATTAAACATGGCTCTGTAGAGGTTAGGGACATGTCGGTTGCAGCTCAGCGCTGGCTTCGGAGTTGGGCTAGAAACACAAGGACGCACCTGTGTAAAAAACACAAGCGAGTGAACGTATGGGTAGCACTCTGAGTCAGGGTCCCTGTTCAGTTCCCCAATATAGTACGGCACCTTTACAAAAGGAACCCCAAAAGGGACCCTAATTCAGAGAACTACCCAAATGAACCCGCCAAAGCTCCTGAACCTAAACCCGAACGAGCTTCACCTGCGACCCAACAATGCAACTTGAAGCCCCGAAACTTGAAACCTGTATGCCCCGAACGTCTGCTTTCGGAACCTTGGAGAATCAGGGCGGCCCCAAACGAAGTTCGTCTTCACCCGGCTTGCCCAAACTCCTACATGCTTTACCTCATTAAACCCGCAAAAAGTCTACCCCTCCACCAATCCTCGAAACACATACCTACTCTAGACTCCAGAATCCTCAATCCTGACTCCGAAACATCCCCCACTGCACCCGCGAATCCTCAACACTTAAGTTAGACAACCGACACACCAAAAGCCCTCAAGCCAATGCCCTAAACCTCTGTGATGCCCTAAACCCTAAACCCTAAACCCCAAACCCTGTGCTCGAAACGCCCCAAGTCCTCCCCGAAGTTGCGGAACCTGTGTGCCGATTGCTCGCCACGCTTTGGCTGGCCACGGCTGGGAGTGCTCCCTGGAGTTTTGGAGCAAGACTTCTAGTTTAGGAACTTACCACGCAGGAGCTCGAAGTGAGCCGTGTCCCGGGTTGGGGTGAAGCCCTCTACGGAGGCCAAAACAGAGACCAAGAGAACGACTCTAAACCCTGCACCAGAAACCCCAAAACCCTGAACCCTGAAACTCACTAAACCCTAAAACCCTGAAACTTACTAAAACCTGAAACCCTAAAACCCTGAAACTTACAAAACCCTGAAACCCCCAACTTTGAAACTTACTAAACCCTGAGCCCTTTACCCTAAACCCCTGAGCTCGACACCCGAGTTTCGCAGGCCGCTGGGTGAGGACAAGGCCCTCAGATGGGCTCCAGGCTTTTTGGGGTGTCAGAATTCGGTTCTTTTGGGGGTACCAGGTTTTCGGGTTTAGGATTCAGCGTTTAGGGTTTAGGGAAAAAGGTTTCTGCTTTAGAACTGAATCGCTGGGGGCGTTCGAAAAAATCAGCTCCAGGGCTCCAGGGTGCAGAGCTGTTTAGGGTTTAGGGTTTAGGGAGTTTAGGGTTTAGGGTTTAGGGTTTCGGGTTTAGCCGTAGCATTTCTGGTGTCATTAAGGCCTTTAAGACCCGAAGACCTGAACCCGAACTCACGGGCTCGAGGTTTGGAGTCTCGGGCGTTGTTGGGCTCAGGCCATAGAGCTTTCAGCTGTAAACAGAGGTTTAAGGTTTAGGGTTTAGGTTTTAGGGTTTAAGGTTTAGGGCTTAGGGTTTAAGGTTCAGGGTTTAGGGTTCAAGGTTTAGGGCTTAGGGTTTAGAGCTTCTGGATCGGAGTTGGTGTTGAAGGGTTTTTTCCTTCTTGCGCTAACTAGTATTGTTACTAGTCTTCCCATTGCTTGGTATTCCTATTGCTGTTGCTACTGCTGCTGTTATTGTTATCGAGTTTGTAAGTATTCCGTTTCGTAAGCAGATCACTATGAGCACAAGTATTCGTTACATTAGTCTTAGCGTTTGAATTGCTATCAATGTTATCATATTACCATTGTGGTTGCTATTGTTATTCTTACCAATATGACTCGCATTATTGTCGTTTCCGTAGGCCGTAGGGTGGATGAAGCCCGGACAGTCAGTCTTGAATGTCACGGGCTTTCTTGTTGGAACCTGTCGTCGTAGCTTTACATGAAGCTCAATGCTGTGTCCTAGACCGGGGGGGTGCCGGAACGTTTTGAAGAGCAGGTGTGATCTCGAGTTGGAGGTTCAGAGTTTAGAGCTTGGGTTCGCGCCTAAGGATTATGTCTGGGGCTTAGATGCGAATCATATTTAGCTTTGGCTTCAGTCAAGGTCCTCAGCTTCGGGGTGCAGCGGTTAAGTGTAAGATCTAAAGGCTCCGATGATTTCATGATTCATCCAATCGCCTTCAGGTGGCTAACGAGGCTTCGAGGCCGAAGTTTCATGCGAGTTCCTGGCCTACAGTTGCGAGAAGCATCGATTCCGGAGAAGGGGAGGAAGCAAAGTGGCGGAGCCTGACATGATCACTAAAGAGCTGCGCAGCCACCCGGCCGCGCTAGAGTTCCTATGAAGGCGGGTTCATCATCTAAGGCGAGTACCAAGCAGATGGAGGACCCAAAGAAGCGACGCTGATACCAGTGAAAGCTACATGCATCCCATCCTTCACGCTTCGATTCTATGCCACTTTTGCTCCACCTGAATCAACATGACCTGTTTGAACGATCTCCGTACATCTAAAGCTGGCCGAATGCAACAATAATAACATGAATAATGGCAAATATGATACTCATTAAACGGAAAGCCGGTAGGCAGTATCAGCGCCATGCGCGAACTGAACCCCATGAGTCCATTGGCGCACCCCACCTTCCGATTGCGGGCCAGCACGGCCCTGCAATCGCCATAGCCAGCGGCGGCTGCACGGCCATGACTAACCTAACGCCTAAATCTTACGAGAGTTGAGATGACGAACTGATGGAACGGCCAGTACAACAGAGATCCGTAATATCATAAGTGTAATATATTCGGACATACTATAATGTACTATAGTAGTTTATATGTTTATGTATCTTGAAGTATTGTGTGAAGTGCATTCTCGTAGCATCCTCAACTGCTGCATCAGCGATTCTACTGTACCGCGGTTCAGGAGAGGAGGTGGCAGGACAACGCTAAATGAGTTGTTCTCTAAATTAGGGTCCCTTTTAGGGTCTGTTTTATAGGGTGTCGTACTATTTTGGGGACCTGAAAAGGGATCCTAATTTTGAGAACTACCCAAATTGCGCGGCCTGTGTTGCCGACCGGTGCTCAAGAGGCTCCGAGTTCAGGGCTCGTCAAGACCCAGGATTAGGGTTTAGGGTTTAATATGGGGGCCTTAATAATTAGACTAGGGTTTGGGGGTATCCTCTACCATAAGTAAAATAAGGCACCCCCAAAACCCTTTTCTAATTATTAAGGCCCCTACATTAGGGTTTAAAGCGCAAAAGTATTGATCGGAGCATGGGAGGTTTCGGAGGGCCGTCGACCACACATGCCACACTTGAACTCTCTCAGTGAATAAAACGGCGGGGCGGAATGCAAAGAGACAGCAGCTCGGCCGGCATCGGAGGGTAGTGCAAGGCACGGAGTGATCCAACCCTGTCACGAAGCCTTCCACCAAATTTTCAAGAAGAACCTCGACTCGGCAAGAAACCATGTCTGTACCTGCTTCTGCCTTCTCCGCAAACTAGCAGGGTGTCTTTTGCACAGGGGCTGGTCTATCCGCCACTCCACTCGAAGCCATCGCAGACGTGTTGCTCAGAGCCCTCCTGTCCGGTGCATTCCGTGGCTGCATAAGAACAAGGCCATCGAGAGGGCGTAGAAATGCAGCCAAGGGCCGAGCTTCGAAGATGAACCCCGCAACACATCTCATGCCAGGCGAGTCGCTCCGTTCAAACAACCCATGTAGATTCGTCGGTTGCTGAATGTGGCCAACAGGTGTTGATAGTCCATGACTTTAACTGTGCATCCTGTAGAAGAAGTAGGCCTATGGAGATGTGCGCATCCATCCATCCATACATCCATGCCTACATGCGTAAACAGTACCCGAGAGAATGAACATCTCAGTCGACTGTGATTTGGGAACCTTTCAGAGCAGCACCACTCTTCGACTAAGGGCTTGCTTCTAGGAGAGCAGGCTGGCTTTACATTCCAAATCGGATATTGTGTGCTATAGATTCTATACTATGTATTATGCACTACATATTACGCATGCACATCTATGTATGCATGCATGCATGTATGTATATGTATGTATATTTATGTATGTGCATGTATATGTATGTATGTGTATGTATATGTATGTATGTGTATGTATATGTATGTATATGTATGTACGTGTATGTATATGTATGTATGTGTATGTATGTGTATGTATATGTATGTATATGTATGTATATGTATGTATATGTATGCATATATGTATGTATGTATGTATGTATGTATGTATGTATGTATGTATGTATGTATGTACACATACATACATACATACATACATACATAAATACATACATACATACATACATACATACATACATACATCCATGCATACTCTTGTCTGACATGTTTCACGTGCTGATGTATGCATGCGCGGATGGACGGCTGGATGTATGTATGTGCAGTGGCATGCGTAAAAGTAGCATCCTTACAGCCGTCGGAAGAATTGTCCGAAGGCCGGCGGCTGAAGAATTTGGGGAGATGACGCGTGATGTGGTTTGGGGCTACGAGCCGCACCGACCTTGGCTTGCTTGAAAGATGTGATACTTCCAGAGTTCAGAGATCCTCGGTTCCCGAATTTTTGACACCTCGTCCATGTCCAGACATGCCAGCAGCGACATGACCCTTAGGACCCGACCGGAACCTCCGGCTGTCCCGCCGCCACCTCCGGCTGTCCCGCCGCCACCGCGGCCTGAAGGTGAGCCAGAGCTAATGGAACGTAGCAACGGATAAGTCGGTGGGACTGCGTGGCACCTGCTGCCTAACAGGGTTGAGCTGTTCATATCTGTGGCCTACTTCGGGCGGGCTCGGCGAAAGAGCGGCCTTGCAGGTACCGGGGGATATCCACACATTCGGAGTCCCCGTCCCCGCCTTCGGTGGATAAAGACTTGCCTTGATCTTATCATCCGACAGTCGTGGCTTAGCCACCAAGCGAGCGGTGCCTGAGCCGAGAATCCCGCAGTCCTTCGCCCCTTCGCCCTGAGCGTCTTCTGTGTTCGCCTTTGGGCAGTTACCGACCTGCACCAACCAGCCGACGATCAGCCGCCGGAAGAGCCTGCCGACCACGCTGCCGAAACGAAGGCCTACACGACAAAATAAGACCCTAAACCCTAATCTCAAAGGCCGTGAAGGGAACTGGGAGCAATCTTTCGGCTTGAGCTTTCGGTCTGGGTCGTTGCTGCAGCCATGGGCGTTCTCGTTCCTCTTGGACCGCTTTGCTAGATTAGTTTCAGGATGCGTAGAAGCAAAATCAAGCAAGACTTTGCTCCACATGACTGAAAGAAGCATCAGGTGGAAGAGTCAGCAGGTTCCGAGCTCGAGGCACCAAAGGAGTTTTGAAATTTGGAAGTGGGTAGTTTCTGGGCTTGTTCTTGTCGGCAGCTTCTGCAGTCATGCGTGTCACACAAAGGGGCGGGGTCGTCTTGCACTGCGCTAGCCTCCAATTTGTGAATCAACATTCGTCTGATTGTTGTCCTTTCCCACCGCTATCCATGAGTCATCCATGAGTAGGTGATGACTAGCTTCGATGTATCTGTGTTGGACTAGGTTTAGGTTACATTGCGTTGTGTTGCAGAATGACATTCTATGAAAAATGGCATCTCCGTGTCTCTCAGGATCCGGTTGAAGCTGGCCAGAGCCCTTGTTCGATCGGATGCAGTCTGTCAGGGAGTTTCGAGCGGCTCAGACGCCGGGTAAACCTTGGGATAGATTCAGCGGCTGATGCTGGTCACTGCATGGGAAAGCTCTGCTCCAGTGCCGATCTCCGAGGTGATGCAGAGCCCAAGAAGGCCAAAAAGAAAAAGAAGAAGAAGAAGGCTGCAAAGACGGAAGACGCTTCACCCACGAAGGACGGACCTGCAAAGAGTCCCCTGAGGACTTGTTTGGGTTCCGTCCTTTCACCGTTTCTTCATCTGGGGTTGCCCACTTCTTGAGGCAATTACGGCACCTGCTCATGACCTGCGAAGGTCATTCCAGCCATGTCGACTACTCCTGCCTGAACCTCAAGATGTCGCAACTGTCACGGCTGACACTCTCACGCTTGTAGCTTCTGCCCTCTCACAGAAAACTGACATCCGAAGCCCGTGCATGTGCAACAGCCTGTCTGCTGCAAGCCAAGCCTGATGATCAGATGATCAGGCTCTGGCGAACCTCTTCTCGAAAACGAAATTTTCCGGCCTGTCCGACGGTTCTGAGAGTGAGCAGGCACGTAGGAATTGTCGGGGAAAAGGGGCTTTCGGCAGTCCACGTTGTCCATGATCGGCGCTAGTCAGCATGCCCACTGCCTCTCTTGAGGAATGAGTACATCCACATCTCTGTGCTTCCAAGCGATTCCCGAATGAAAGCTCTTTTTTCTGAGCCTTTTTGTTGAGAAGAACATGATCGACCCCCAAGCCCTAAGTTCAGAAGTCAAGCCAAGCCTTCTTGCTGCGTGTGGCTCTCAGCTTCCTCTGAAACCTGATACCCTAAAAGCTAAACCCTGGGGGGCAGACACCCCAGCGAACTGTTTAGGCAGCTTTGAGGACTGAGGGCAGACAGGCCTCAGTTGATAAATAAGTTTTGGTAAAAGCCTCTCAGTCCTCATACCAGGCTCTACCTACTAGGTATTCCGACAGTAGCACAGGAAGATGGCCCGCAACCAAGCAACAAAACCACCCGAAGCCCCCCTAAACCCGAACCCCTAAACCTTAAGCCTAAACCCCTAAAACCGTCTCCAAAAACGTTTCTCTGAATGCCAGGATGTGGCGAAGGCCGGCTGCTTCGTGCAGTGATGCCTGTTCGTGAGCAAACAGTTGGTGTGGCCCCCTGTACTCTGACATACGATGTTATAAGGTCACATAACATATAGCATAACATATCACAGCAAATATCCTGCATTATATACTTGTTATGATATACTCTGACATGTTCTGATATACTGTGACGTACATATATATATATATACATACACACAGGCACTGTATAATACACACACACTCATATTATCATGTGCTTTGATCTGTTATGATATATATATATATATATATATATTATGACATATTATGATACATATTGTGGTATGTCGTGATCTGTTGTGATATATTGTAACATATGTCATGTTGAGCCATTCTGTAACATAGCAAAGCCGAAAATAGCACAGATTCGTACCGTATAGTGTAGTGTGCTGTAGTGAAAGATAATATGACAGAGTATACCTTTCGTATCATGTCATATAACGACATATCTATCTTTCCCTAAACCCTGACACCACTCGAAGGCCAGCGCGAAAGCCGCGGCGAAGCCGAAGGCCAAGCCCAAGGCCAAGGAGCCCAAGGAGCCCAAGGAGCCCAAGGAGCCCAAGGAGCCCAAGGAGCCCAAGGAGCCCAAGGAGCCCAAGGAGCCCAAGGAGCCCAAGGAGCCCAGGGAGGTCAGGGAGGTCAAGGAGATCAAGCTGGAAAAAGCTGCGCCCAAGGCCAAGGCACCACCCAAGGCTCCTCCGAATGAACCGGGTCACGGAGGATACCCGGCCCCGGCACCCGAACCCGGGCCAGGGCCAGCTTGGGAAGTCGGGAGCCCAGAAAGCGCTCGTTGCTGCAAAATGGCAGGTGCTGTTTCTATTGTTAAGGTTGGAGTTTCAGCTCATATACTGTAGGTCCCTCAGAGCCGAGCATATACTGCCGTTCAGATTGGCAGGTAAGCGGAAGCACTTTCCCAACCATCCAGAACTTGGGCTCGAAAATCGACAAACGCTCTTGATGTTTCTTCCCAAAGCCCACAAACCCAGCCTTGAGCTTTGCGCACACAGCACTGCGCACCAGGTGAAGGTGCCGGTGCCTTTGGCCGTGAAGCGCGGTCCTCGGGCTCACGGACGTGGCGCGTGTTTGGTCAAAGTCATCGGAATGAGAGTCCTTTGCCACAAGAGGCCTTTGCCGACTGCGAAGATGAAGGCAGGATTGCACGGTGCGGGCAAGCTTCGTGACTCGCGATCAAGAAAGGCATGATGATCTGGCTGCAGGCTGCGCCAGCTCCTGCGCCTCCGGCTGCCAAAGTAGCACCAAAGGCGAAAAGCTTCTGAGATTTGCGGAGCGTTTTCCCAAATGTTGGCTGAGAGGCCGTGCCACCTCCAGGTGTGGCCGTGAAGCTGCACGCTTAGCCCACGAGATGGCTCCGGGGGCACAAGTCAAGCTGCCGCCAAACTTGAACTTGGGGGTAGTCTCCACTTGCCTAGGAATCCAGGAAAGACACAAATGACCCATGACCAACCTTTCCATGTCCTTTGGGCCGGGGCTTTCAAAGTCTCCACCTCGAGGCCCTTGCCGACCCATCCACCGGCCAAGGCCGGTCCTGAACGCTCTCAAGTGTTGAGGTGCCAGAGGGAAAGATCCCGTCCTCGTTCAAGTAATATTCTACTATCATATTAAAATACTATATATCAGAATAGACCATCATATGGTAGTATAGTATAATTCTACTATCATATTAAAATACTATACATCAGAATAGACCATCATGTGTAGTATAGTCTATTTATCATATCAGAGAGCGAAGATGAAACTCCGGAAGGCCGCGGTGCCCA